TTTTTTTTTTTTTTTTTTTCTTTCTGTTTGTTTGTTTGTTACCTAAGCCAAATGAAAAGGTGCTTCTTTTCTAAACCTGCTTCTCCACCCGTGTCCGGAAGCTTCCATAAAAAGGACCGCACCAAGGGCTCAGCGTGGCGGGGCGCCGAGGGGAGGAACCGATGGATTTTTAAGGAGAAAGTAAAGCTACAGCCCACCTTCACAGCCTCACGTCCCTCCTGGCTTTCTCCTCCAAGACTGTGTCAGGGGAGAAGTCTATCCGCTCTGCCGAGTATTTATTGTGTTTCCTTCCCCGCTTTTTTTCTGTTTTTTTAATCGACGGCGCTTCGTCGCAGCGGAGACGAGCACAAGTTCTACTCGAGACATGCACTGCACAAGGGCCAAACTCTCAGCAGCAGCAAGAGCGGAGATCAGAGACTGTCCCTGCCCCGACTCCATGTCTCTGTGTAACATAGATGGCATGCATGCTCCTCCTTTATACACAAGTTGTTTTTTTTTTTTTTTTGTTCGACGTCGTGAGCTTGTAAAGCTGTGGGAGCCCAAGCTGCTCTTTATGTGGCGGCGCAGCCAGACGCTCCTCTTCCTCCCTAGTTTCTTCCTATTCTTTTTCTCACTGTGAGTTATCACCGTATTAAGTCCATACCTACCGCTTTACTGGCTGGTTCTGTGGACTTTCTGCCTTTCACCTCCTCACCATTGTAACGACCGTGACTGTTAACTTAAGCGACCCCTCCCCTTTTTTTGTGTGTGTGTGTGTGTGTGTATTCTTTTTATTCTAACAGACAGCCTGCGTGGAAACTCTTAAGGCGACTCCAGATTGTTGCGGAGTACAGGAACAGGAAAGTAGCACAAACAACAACAGTCTTCTCCCTGGAAAACTTTTGAGACTGCCGACTACCTCATGCTACATCGTCAGAGGTCAGAGGTGCATCACAGGGAGATTGGACAAGTGGGGAAGAGTTGCTGAAAAACGATTGCGATTTTCCCCCTTTAGTGATTAAATTAGGGAACAGGGTAGCATCCGTTTTTTTTGTTTTTTTTATATCAAAAAGGCTACAAAACATTCTGCTACCTTTTTCTGTTCAGCAATACAAAGTTTGCTTCCTTACAAAGCTGTTTAATGAAATTAAGACCCTTCATTGGTGCGTTTGCTTCAGTCGAGCTGCGGTCACAGGTGCAGCTGGGATCCAGTCACATAATAAAATGCTAACAGTGTTGTTTTCTGACGGACAGTGAGTGTCTGAGGAAGAACTGTGCCAGCAGGACGGCTGGCGATAATCCTTTTAGGGTATTTCAGGAGACAGGGCTTCCTGCTTAGTCAGATAAATCTGCAGAAGAAGCAAGTGTAAATCCAAAAAAAAAAAAAAAGAAAAGAAAAGTTTGACATCTCGAAAATCAAACTTGAACTCGCGGCCATTCCACTGCACAAACCTTTATCGAGGAAGATTTGTCTCCTGGTCCTGCATTTCCAGGACCACAGTGGACCCTGAAGTACACAGACTGCAGTGTTTCTTTTTGATAGCGTCCTCAAGACCAAGTAGCTGTGTATATAAACTTACAAAAGCCTTCTGTTGTGGAAAATAATCTTTTGCTCTGTTTAAACTGAGAAAAAAGCGTCCGTTTTTGTATCTCTCCAAGTATGGATTCAGTTTAATTGAATTAGGGATACAAAATGGTGCACATGAACGCCACACAAAACTAATATAAGTCATTATGGGGTTTTTTTTCCATAAGAGGTTGTTATTTAACTGAATTTCCTGCTGAGACTGATGAACTGACTTTCAACTTGGTGCCAGTGGGACTGTGTGAGAAAAGACTGACCCACGCCTTTGTGTAAACCATGAGATGAGCAGGCATTTCTGTTTTTTTTTTTTTTTTTTTTCCAACCCAAAAACCTTACACCTTGTTTCCGTTTGATGGTGATGATGATTCTCTGAGTTTGTCTCTCTCTGTGTCTTAACATACTTAGTTCAGACGCTCTGCTTCAGCTGTGTATCTCTTAAAAAAAAAAAAAAAAAAGGTTGTGACACTGGGTATTTAACAGACGCTGGTCAAGTAGTATTTGCCAATAATTCTTCCGTTTTAAAAAATTATTTCAACCACCCAGAGGAAGACTGTTGATAGACTTTTTTTTTTTTGTTAAATGGACACCACCTACAAACAGCAAGTATCATTTGCAGTGCTGTTGACTCCAGATTTTTGTATTTAATGATTTTTATTTAGCTGTATTGTGTCACTTCTTTCACCTCTGGGCAAGCTAATTTTTTTTTTAAGAAATTCAAATATAAAACAACAAAAAAAATGCCATCAAAGAAGGAAACGTCTACTTTTTTCTGGTATTTCAAGTGTCTTGAAAGCTGAATTGAACGCACTTTGAGTGATGCTTCATTTATTTTTGCCCGATATTCTTTATTAACCTCTCTTACGTGTCCTCTCTCTCTCTCTCTCTCTCTCTCTCGGGTTCGTGTCTGTAGTCCTACCAGCTCAGCCAGCCTTTCAAACTGCCTCACACTGTAGTCAAAGAGAAACAAATACTCACATAGCAACATTGAAATATGTCTTTGTATGATATACTAAAACTATGTTGGTGGGTTTGTTTTTATTTTTTCAGTTTTTAAAATAAATATTTCAACTCATTAATACGGACTGAAGCGTGGCTGTGGTTTTTCATTCGGTCTCAGAAAAGGGAAGTAATTATGAAGCATGATGGGTTATTTTCAGATCATTCAGCTGCCAGAGGATGCACTTTCTCTGCACTTCGACCCGCTTGTTTGATGTATTATTCCTGGAAAAAGCCAATATTACATAACAATCACCGATTAATAAATTGCTTCAGTCATTGTTCTGTTAATCCTTTTACCTGCTAACGGGACGCTGGGTTAAAAATAAAACCTCGAGGATTTCCGAGAAGTTAGTGAATAACAGCTTTTCCAGAGGAGATGGCATGTACAAGGAAGACATTAAGGAAAACAAAAGGATGCTTGTGTGTGTGTGTGTGTGTAAGAGATAGAGAGGGAGTGGATAAGATGTAGGTTGTGTGTTAGCTCAATAACATTTTACAGAGGCAATAACCCCACATCTACATCAGAGCAGAGCTAAAATCCTAATGCACCTAATTGATTTTTTTTGGGGAGGGGGGAGCGTGGCGATTCTTTTCCAGTAAAAGGATTGACTCATGCACTTTAAAGTGCTTTGTTGGCGTTCAGCTTAGAATAAAATATGATCAAATGAGAGACAAAAAGATGAACTTTGACCAAAGTCTGTTGCTACCTGCTCCTCCTTTGCTGGGAGTAAATTACTGCACACTGAGCATCCCCCCATGATAAGGTAGAAGCACTGCAGGCCTTGAGAGTAAATGAATCAGCGTAATCTAAAACCACTGTGCTGAGATTACAGAAATCCCTAATCTGGGCTAAAGTGTGCACCAGGATCAAACACATCTTCTGATAAGAGTCTTATTTCCTCGTAACGGCAACACAACAGAATCCCAGCGAGACACTAGCACAGAAAGCTAATGGCAGCAAGTTAATATTAACCCCTGGTGATGGTGGCTTGCTTATTTCCCCGCTTTTCATCTGTTTTATCACAGCACTGGGACATGTTCAGCTTCAAAGTTAAATTGTTTGTATTCTTTAGCACCAACAACAGGCTGAAAACATGCAAAAATTAGTAAATGGAAGATGTTTTTCACCTCATATTTGTCCTTTCATATCAGTTTAAACCACACAGGTGTCCGGCAGAAATGCATTCCCTCAGTGACAGTTAATCAGACACACCTGCTGTCAGGTACAGACAGACCAGGTGTTCCTGTTTTGCTGTCAGCAGGGATCATAAACCTGCAGGACTGTAACCCAAAACAGCAGTAATCCTTTAGCACTTTGGTAAATCCTGTAAACTGTGGAGTGTTTGAGCAACAACAACAGGCTGATCGGAGCAACACATGATGTCTGAGGATCAATCAAATGTGGTGATTGCAATTAACTGTAATTAAAGTATTCTGAATCACAGTTTTAATAAACATGGACTGTAACAAATAGATAGCAACTGGAAAGTTCATCTGATGTACAAATCCTTGTAGATTTTGCACACGACCACCAGCCAAAGAATTATGTCCACGTGCATTGTGAGCTGTCCTCAGGTTGGTTTAATTGTGATAACTTTTTCAACATATTTGAACAACCAAACATTCTCTTTCAAACAGTGTCTACAGATAAATGTGATATATTCAAACAAGTGAAGCATAATTGTAACATTTTGTAATTTAAATAAGAAGAAAAATAGATTAGCACATGGAAATAATTAAGAATTCTTTTAAATTAGAATCAGGGGTTCCAGATCAGATGCTGGGGATTAGGAAGGATTCTTAAGGAATGACCTTAAGGTGAAGCTTTCTTATTTTGTCCTCTGACATCAATGGTCTGCTGATCTCTTTACTTCTGAAATGTGTGGAGTCATCAACTCAAGACCTATAGAGCTCTCTGAGACTGTCAGAAATAAAGTCGTCGATGCCAATGAGTCTTGCAAGAAGCCAAAAAAAACCCCAAAAACTTCAATTATAAGAAAACTCATCGACAAGTGGTAATGATTTCATATGTTTTGTCCAGGACTGGGGCTGCAAGGTGGAACAGTGGTTAGCACCATTGCCTCGCAGCAAGAACGTCTCTAGTTCGCGTCCTGGTGAGGACACCTGGAATGTTTCTGCGTGGAGTTTGCATGTTCTCCCCGTGCAGTGTGGGTTCTCTCTGGGTTCTCTGGCTTCCTCCCACACAGTCCTAAAACATGTTGAGGTTAATTGGTGATTCTAAATTGTCTGTAGGTGTGAATGTGAGTGTGCTTGGTTGTCTGTCTCTAAGTGTAGCCCTGTGATAGACTGGTGACCTGTCCAGGGTGTCCCCTGCCTTCGCCCTAAGTCAGCTGGGATAGACTCCATCCCCCCGCAACCCTAGTGAGGATTAAGCGGTGTATAGATAATGGAGGGATGTCCAAGAGAGTCCAGTTGAGCAAATTTAACCCAAGAGAGAAGAATGTTTGAAGCAAAAAGAACCCTCAAGAACCACAAGGTTTCATCACAGGATCTGAAGGAAACTCTGCAACTGTTGATGTCAAAGTGTTACATTTACAATAAGAAGGAGATTGCACAAATTTGATCTGCAAAAGCCATCACTGTTCAAAAAGAACATTAGAGCAAAAGTACAGTTTGCCAGTGAACATGTGGGCAAAGACCAGAACGAATTCAAGAGGGCTGTCGAAAAATTTGGTGAAGAGGAAGCTTTTCACGGGGAAGAATCTCAAAGCACCTGTGAAGACGCAGCATGTCGGTGGAAATGGTTTAGGGTTGCATCATTGCCACATTAGTCTTTGATTCTACTATTGATTCTGTATCATTCAAAGAGTTTATGAAGCTAATGTGAAGCCATCTGCGTAAAAGCTGAAATTGAAATGGACCTTTTAGAAGGATAATGGTCCTTAACACACTAACAAATCCACCAAGTGATGGCTAATAAAGAGGGAATGGAGTTATGGAAAAACCCAACCAAGGAGAAAAACTAACTCACTAAAATGCTGCAGGGGGATTTGAAACAATCAGTAGATGCAATAAATCCCTCAAACATCTTGCAACTAAAGGAATTTTGCAGAAAAAGTAGTGAAAAAAAAAAAAAAAAACCTCAGCAACTTGATGGCAGAGAAGTTATTTCACCTAAAGGGGGCAACACTGGCTTCGGAAACTACTTTTTTCACAGAAGAATATCTTCATCTATTGTGTTGAGTGTTCAGTAGATGATTATGATATGTGTAGACACTGATCATTTGTATGCTTGTCCAAATAAGTCACAAAAACAGTTTCAATGAGATGTACTTCCTTTGTTTGCATGAATGGACCAATTCATTTTTATTACCTAAAATGAAAATCATGAGGCTTTATTTCTCTTTTTCAGCTGGCATTGTTATTTATCAATATACTCATTTTTAACTTACAGTATATAATAGCATTTCATTTTTTAATATTTTGTCACTTTTGGGGTTTTATACTGTGCTTTAAAGATATAAAATGTTCATTAAACTGACTTTATGATGGATACTTTAAGTCAAGAGCACATTGCTTAGAAATTGTGAGTGAAAAACTGAGCCATTGAGCGTTTTTGGAAACTTATTGAAGCCAAAATAGTCCTACACTCATCTGACACTCGTGTTGGAGTAAGTGTGTTGGTGTAACACTACAGACCAACACATGTCTGCATAATGAACCCCTGATCTTCACTAAAAGAGCCTCCATCAGTCCTTGTTGTTCTGCTGCTCCCTTGGTGACTCAGTACCACTTCAGTCAGCAGCGAGCAGGTTACCTCTGAACTGATTAAAATGTGGAGCAGTGTGCAGCGGTGCCGAGATGTTTTGCTCTGTGCTGCTGTTCCGTCACATGGGTAATGTGGTGGGTGGTGCCTGTGAGAAAGACAGGCCGAGCTATTTATAGTCTCTGCAGTCTTGAGCTGGG